CGATGGCCTTCGTTTTTCGTATCTCCAAGCTGGTGGGATGATGAGTGATTCTTTAACTGAAACCTTGGCGGACTTCAGCTTTAAAGTCTTCTACTACGGAGACGAGCTTCCGGATTTCTTTTGGAACCTCCACACCAGTGCCAACCTTTCAGCGCTGGGAGAGAAAAAACGGCCGATTGCAGTTGGAGGGGTTTTGCGTCGCATCATCAGCGGCAGCTTCTGCCGCCAGTACAAGGGAGGAATTGCGAACATCTTCGAAGCAGCAAATCAGTTCGGAGGTGGTGTTCCAGGAGGAGTTGAGATAGTGGCTTCCACAGCAGCCCTCAGCCACCAGCAAGGCAGCACCATTCTCTCCTTTGATGGGAAAAACGCTTACAACAGCATGCGCAGATCTTCCATCTTGCCAGCAGTGGCCACTCATACGCCACACTTGGTGAAGTACTTCGGGAACATCTACGCTCGAACCAAGGCGAAACTTCTGTTCAAAATGGAAGATGGTTCGATCGAGGTTGTTCTTTCACAGCGCGGAGTTCAACAAGGCTGCAATTTGGGAGGGTTTGGCTTCTGTGTAGGACTTCTTGATATCATGAAAGAGTTCAACAACAAGCCACCAGTGCCAGGAGTGAAACTCATCGGATACGTCGACGACCTCCAAGCACATCTTCCACCAGGTTTGGCTAGGAACATGCAGGCCATATCCACTGTAACGAATTGGATTCAGGAACGTCTCTCCCAAAAAGGCATTGAGCTCAGTCTCCCGAAATCCAAAGTGCTTTTCCCGGAAGGTCTTTGCATGTCCTCTTTGACAAACGACGAACAGCAACAATTGACGAAAATTGGTCTGTCAGTTGCTGAAGGTGGCATGCCAGTTGTCGGGATCCCAGTAGGAACAGAGGAGTTCCAGAGGAATTTCGTTTCCAAAATCGCCCGTGGTGACCCGGCGGAATTGATACTCCGCCTAGCAACGCTTGACGACCCTCAAGCCAGCTATCAACTGCTGCGTTTATCTGGTGTGCCACGTTTGTTCCATCTGCTGAGGACGATTGCACCGTCTATCACCAACTCTGCCGCAAAAATACATGACAACATGATGATGTGGGCAATGAGTAAGATCGTCCTTGGCAAGATGGCCGACAGCATGAGAATACCAACGGTCAAAGAGGTACGCGCAGACCCGACGAAGAGCGAGGAGGTAGATTTCTTCAAAGGGACAGCTCGGGCGCAGGTGCACCTACCCATGCGAGAAGGAGGACTAGGAATCACGAGCAATGTTCTCATTCGAGAATCGGCTTTTGTGGCAGGGCAAGCGCTGGTGTTCTCCAAGTCAGTGCAAGCATCGACAGGATACACAGTTGAGCAATGTCTACCCCGGCTTGCCCAGCTACCGACAGGGTTGGCTCTGATTGACTCGCTGAAGAAGCTAGAGGAAATAATCACCAAAGACAAGCTTGAAAAAGCTGTTGGGCAGTCATGGGCTAAACTTGCCACAAGTGATGAGTTAACCCCCGCCCTCAAAGGAGTTTACTTGTTGGAAGCAGGGAAGGCGGGAAAACCCCGTGAAGATGGAAACCCTGACGTAGAACATCAACCACCGTCTACCTTCAGCCGAAATGAATTTGGTCAACACTACCAAGTCTTTGGAGCCCAAGCTCTCCTTTCGAAACCTCTTCATGCAGCAGTGCGCCACATGGTGGAGACAGACTTGCAGAAAGTAGTAGGCGAGGAAACGCCAAAGAAGAGGGCGTTGATCCGCTTGGAGGAAGCGAAAGGCAAGGGAGTTTTGTCGTGGTTGACAACGCAAGGGTTGTCAGCAGATGAAAGAATGCTGCCTGATCTATATCGAGAGTCAATCGGTCGTGTACTGGGGAGTCACGATCGAGCAGACTGCAACACAGGCAAACTTTGTGGTGCAGGTGCATTGTTACCATGCAAGGACCGCTTGAGCCGAGCCCACTCCCTCGTCTGCACCAAGACCGGCGCCTCAACCTTCCTCCATAACAGGATGGTTCGAGTGGTCCTCAAGACACTGCGCGAGTGCCATATGCCCATCGCCGTTGAGGATTCTTCCCCTTTTACCACAGGCACTGGTAGGGGAAAGGGGCTATACAAGATGGATTTGGTAATCCCCCCAGGATTACACGCAGGAGAGAAGGAAGAGGACCTCTGCACCAAGTCCATTCTGATCGACGTAACAATCGTCAACCCATCAGCAGGTCGAAGCATCGACAAGTCGATCCTTAAGCCAGGATCAGCCCTCGAAGATCGAGCTGCAAGTAAGGCAAATCACTATGCGGGAACTTTCAACCCGTCTAGATCTACCCTCCTTACTGCTGCTTTTTCGACGTATGGTGGTCTTGGCAAAGGCACCAATCGACTCATCGTTGCTATCGCCAACCACTTGGCGCACGAAGCTTTTTGCCGGGGAAATTTTGACGACGAGAGGGCCTTAGTTCGCCTGAAAGCTTTTCATACTAACAGGATTCGGAGACGGTTTACCTTCGAGCTAGCTCGTTTTCTGTCGATGCGAACTCGCGATGTGTTCAAACGTCATGGGCTACTGATCGACCAACTTCCACCAGGGCCAATCGGTTGGGATCTCTGCGACAACGATAGTAGTGAGGGTAATTCTTTTGGGAGTGACGAAGACGAAGGAAAGGGAAAGGGAAGAAAGTAGGACGAAGACGACGATGGAACAGGAAAACATGGAGGAGTGGAAAACAAGGAGGAAACTGGTGAAAGTATTCCTAAACGAACTCGAGTACTAGGTAATAGCCTTGGTAGACGGGTGCAGTTTTCTTCTGTTGCTGCTGTTCCTGTTTTTGATCCAAAGGATAGCTTAGCCTCCCCCATACTCCCCCCTCACGGGGTCCCAGTTCATGGTAGGTAGAAGTGTTTTGTGCTTTCAACCGCACTAAGACTGACGTCTTTTCATTGGTCAACCGGTTAGCGCGGTCGATGCTAATAATAAAAGCACACACACAATCAATCCTGGAATGATTGGCTTCCACCGCCCGGGGAAATGATCAATGTCCGCACATGCTCGCGGAATTACTAAAACATGATGCCACATTTTTCACCGAGAAAATTTCGTCGCGTTCAACGAGCTACAACAACAGCAACAGCAGCAGTACCATCATGTACACTAGGCAGACTTTTCCCTGGTACCTGAACGTCATCAGTGTTGCACGTTGCTGTGTTAGCCTGTTCGCTCACACCGCACACAAGCCGGTCTCAAGTTGTAGCCGAATCCGGATGCTCATTATGAGAGCTATTGACCCTGCTGAGTCCACACCATGTACGTGGGTTGTAGACTATGACGTGTCCTTCAGGGAGTGTCGGGTCGTGCGGTGAAAAAGTGAGTTCGTGCTTTGTCTTCTTTGTGGGCGCCAGTCTTGTAGTCTACTTTACCTTTCGGTATGCGTTTGATGCACCAGCCTTTCCTCCTTCTGTGCGTGCCTCAAGCATCACACCCATATCTGCTCTCCTGTACTTCGAGTCTTTTTGTATGTTATCGGTATGCGGTGACTTTTCCCCTCCGGAGATATCCGAACTAACTCACAACCTACGTGCGAGTCAGAGGTTCACGAAAGCAGCTCGAAACATAGCGACAATCACAATACTCAGTGTGATTGGAGAAAGAGGCAGTGAAGCCCCACAGCCAAGGTATTCGCAGAGCAACTTTTACAAGCTGGTTATCTCTTGTAGATATAGAATGGAATGCATCCTGAAGAACAACTAATGTACTTAGTTTTTTTTCTACCCCTAAAGGTACAATGCAAAAGCAAGCATCCGATGCCGGATTCGATACCCGGGACGTATGTGTGGGGATATGCAGTGGGTGCGAACGGCGACTTGAAGCAGACCGAACGCCCTCTCAACAAACGGTCCCGTCGTCGCGTGTCTTTCCAACAGCCAGGGGCATGGAGACTCCTTTTCCATGGCTGCCGATGCTCGCCCTAGCGATCGGCCTCGTGAGCCATTCGTACTCCTTCTCAAGCCTTTTCCCCTACGTGGGGTACATGGTGCAGCACCTCGGGGTCACCGACGACAGGGATGAGGCTGGTGAGTGCTGCACTCCCTCTCAAGACTGTGCGGCTTTCTATTGGAAAGGTAAATGCCAACCCTTTGGCATCTGATTCATTCATGGGAGAGGGGCGAGATCCTGACAAGGTGTGTTGAATCGAGACGCATTGTACCCCACGCATTACGTGACGCTTTCGGCCGTAATAAACTAGGTGCCTTCGCGTGCCATACTGCGTGTGTAACGTTGCGCTTACCCAATCAAACATGTAGTGAGCACCCCGCTAGGCCAGCAGCTCACGTACACGTACCACGTCAGCTCAATACCACCGTGAACACATCGTCCAACTGAATATCCACACGCAGATAACCGTCGAGCACCCCCCGCGCCCCCCGCCCGAACGAACAAAACACACGAAACGAACACCAACCAACAGGATACTACGCCGGCTGCCTGGCGTCCGCCTTCATGGTAGGTCGATTCGCCACCTCGTACTTCTGGGGCCGCTTCGCAGACCGCTACGGGCGGCTGCCCGTGGTGTACATCGGACTCAGCTCCATCGGCGTCCTGTCTTTGGCTTTCGGGCTGTCGACCGCCTTCTGGTGGGCCCTCACTTGCCGGTGAGGGTTAGGATTAGGGTTTGGGTTAGGATTGGACCTATAGATAAGGCCTTGAGTTGCATGCTCTCGTACGTTACGCAAAGTACCGCACCTCCCTGAACAAGTTCTCAGGCCGAGTGGGTAGCTTGACAACAGGAATGGTGTGCACGTCGATTGGAGTGGCCCTGGTAAGATCTTGTCTAAGACCTTCGAAGCATCCACTCGGTTGGTATCGGCGACTCTCTGCTGTTAGTGGAGATAAATCGACCTTCTCCATTTTCGCATGAGGAGGGTTGTAGCCTACTTTTGCAATCATACTCAAAGGCAGCGAAGAATGCATCGACTTGAACTGCTATTCACGCCGACCGCCTCCCAACCACGAGGTTTCTCCTGGGAGCGATGAACGCCCTCATGGGTATATCGAAGTGCATGATCTCCGAGATCTGCGGGAAGCAGCACGAGACAGTTGGCATGGGCTACGTCACAGGTAAAAAACTGCGCTTGGGTAAGTATACTTGGGATTCAGGACATGTGGCTAGACGCCTCGCACCTCATTCTGGTGTTTTCTACGTTTCTACTGGCAGGACGCGATCCCCGGTAGGGTTATGCTAGGGTTATGCCAGGGTCGGGGTAGGGATAGTTTTGCAGTATGTCAACTCGGGGCAACATACGTCATCATTCCTGTTCCACACTTCGTACGCGAGGAGCACACACACAATCACCATTTATATGCATGAGTGAGGATGCTTTTCAGAGGTTGCGAAGAGGTTGCTGCAGTCTACAGTACCACCTACATCTTATGTGAACTGCACGAGCCTCGTAGCGCCGGAGTTATTTTCCTTCTCCTTTCCACGCACACAAGATGTCTGAGGCGTTTCGCCTGAGTTCGAAGACCTTGTTTCGTGTGACTGTCTTGTGTTTCGACGGAAATGTAAGCGTTGGCACCTTGGTTCTCAAGCAATGCCCTCAAAGGAAACCAATCCTCGCTCTTTCTATCTCACAAGGCTCGCGATATTTGCGGAGTTTTGCAGTTGGGCGTAGGCCGAGTCGTCCTTCTTCCCCAACACGTACGTGTGTCCAAGCTCCTTTCAATCGGATATCCTCTCTGCAAAACCAAGGCACACATGAGAAAAAGAGGCTCCACAGTGCCAGCACAAGTCGCTGGTCCTGCGTTATTCCAAAGAAGGGCTAATCTACGTTATAGGTGGAGCATTGTTGGCTCTCCAGGATCTCCTGCACACCCAGGCCGCAGTCGAACCGGATTGGATCACGTTGGAGTGCGCCCGTGTCAACAGCTGGAGCCAGGGAATCCACCTGTTACGCTCGCCCCTTTGAGGCCAGCGATGCATGCACACACTGGCGGAGGAGCAACCAGAGGTCCTCATCGGCAAAGCCTGCCCTGCCGATGAGGACCTTAGCGATGATAAACCGTCGCCTGACGCGCGGCATTCTCTCCCTGACTGTGAGCGTTGTATCGGCGGCAGGCCTTGCCGATGAGGACCTCTGGTTGCTCCTCCGCCAGTGTGTGCATGCATCGCTGGCCTCAAAGAGGCGGGCGTAGCAGGTGGAATCCCTGGCTCCAGCTGTTGACACGGGCGCACTCCAACGTGATCCAATAATCTACGTTATCACCGGGTGATACACCCTCACCTGCATAGATACTAAAACAGCTATTCTCTGCGAGTTCGACTGCAGACTGCCAAGCGTTCCATGATTACAGCATAAGCGAGCAAGCTGCAGTGCTCCAAGCGCGCATGCAATTCCAACTCCTCCGATACAGCTAGTACTCCATCATCCGTTCAGTAATGCGTGGTCATCACTCACGGTCGCGAACACGGCTCCATAGCGCTCAGATCAGCACATCTGCTTTCCTTTCTCTGGCGTTGTGAAAGTCGTTGGTCCTGCATATCTGCAGTCGTTTCTGGGCGCTATTGTTGAATCTTTCTTGATATACTTGCCTGTACACGCTCTGTTCGTGATAATTGCTGCTCTGTGTGTCGACAGAGTAACGTAGAAAAAATTGATTGGACAGCTTGAATTGTGCAGCTGTCGGCGTTGCAGATCGCTGAGTGCCCACATATTATCAGAACATCGAGGAACGTTCTGTAGGAATGTTCCTCGTGGATGGTGCATGGCCGCGAGTGTGTTCTCTGTGGATAGTGCATCAGCCAGAAGATTCATGGTACGTTGTGAAGTACGCTAGCCCCTGTTGAGTCTTTGTGTTCCGATATTATTGTGTTCGGCTTTTTTGCGTTGGTCGAGCGACATGGGTGGTGGCTGCGGTGCTACGGTGCTGTGGTGCTAGCCCCACCCTTGCTCACTCCACCTTTTTGACCTGTTCTTCCGAACCAAGGTTTCATCAATGCAACATCTTTTCCCCAGAAGCCACGAGCTTACTAAAACGCTTTAGAAGCGAATCAGTCGTCTGCTGCTTGACCCCTCGGACCATACGACAAGACTGAACGGAGGAAGATTGATCACCTTGCTTCGTGATGAGGGGGCCTCCTGGGGATCCTGTGGATGACCCACCTCTGGGTGATTCGCAGGATGTTATTGGTGGTGAGAGATTGGAGTCGATTGAGACACAGTTGTTCCAGCTCACGAGTATAATGAAGTCACTTGTTGGGCAACTAGGTGATCAGGTGGAGTCCTCTGTTCCAGTAGCTGCTGCGCCCGGAGGCGGCGGAACAGAGTACGCTGGTGCGCATCAATCGGATGTCACTGGCAGGACTGCGGGAGGCACGGGCAGCAGTGCCCTAGTTCTTGGCATGTCCAGCATGTGGGTTGGGAGTAGTGGTCTTGTAGACTCAGGCTTGAACCTTTGTGTGAATTTTGTAAGGCGTTCCTCTGCTGGTGGTACTGCCAGCGGCGGAACCGACGCCGGTTGGCATCCTTCAGATGATGCTACTGGCAGAAATGCCGGAGGTACGGGCAGCGATGCCCCAGTCCTTGGCATGTCTGGTGAGCATCAGTCGGGTGCCACCGGCGGGCGTGCGGGAGGTACGGGCGGTAATGCCCCAGCCCTTGGCACGTCCAGCGTGCGGATTGGAAGGAGTCTTATTAGATTCAGGCTTGAACCCCCATGCAACTGATGTGAATCGTTCCTCTGTAGGTGCTGCAAACTTTGGTTCGATTGGAATTGGAAGTGGGACTTTGGGTAGTTAGCCTTTCATTCCTGGAATGGTAAGTGGGGCTTTAGATAGCCAGTCTTCCAATCCGCCGCCATCTCTCCATCGGGTGAGTGGTGGGGACGTGTCGCCAGTGGAAACACATACCAGAATATTCCTGGGGCTGGCATTTCTGACACAGGAGAGAAGTTGGGTAGGAGTCCTTTAAAAGTTCCCATAGCTCCTGTTGTTTTTGAGGGGACTGATGTTGTCTCGTATCCGTTGTGGTCAAAACATTTTCGGCTGGGTGCCCTCCACAATAGTCTATTTGAAGCGTTGTGTGTGTCTACGCATGAGATTCCGATTGCAAGCTTTGAATTCGACTTGACCCCCTCGGTACAGCAAGGATTCAGTGTGGATGTGCTGCGCCAGGCAGAAAAGCGAACGGTGTGAAGTCTGACATGGTGCTATTTTCTCAAACCAAATTGAACAACTCGCATGATCTCACGTGTCTGGTAGCGTATTACGAAGTCATTCTGCTGGGGTGCTTGTCGAATGACGATGCCGTTCGCAAATACTCTTATTCTTGTGAGGAAGGACAGATGTGTCGAAGAACGGCGTAGCGGACACGGTTACTGCTTTCCACATGACAGACTTCCTTTCTAGCATTTGGATGTGAAGTCTTGCTATTAGAACGTATGAGGTATTGATGGTATGACTTGTGAAGTAGCACTGGAGTAAGTGTTTGTGATTGTTGACAGCGAGTGTTCAGTACCGTTGGAGCAGGTTTATTCAACCTCTTTTCTCCCAGCGCTGTGTTTGATGGCAAGTTTTGAAATAGCCTCGGTGGTCTTGATGGTGTGATAGCTACTTTCGACGGAACAGCTATTTTTTCAGAACTTCGATGGCATGGTTTTTGCTACTGTGTATCGTCTGGGTGATGACTGGGTGATGAATCTGTTGGTTCGGTGTTAGCTGCCTTCACCCCTCTAGACCCCAAAGCAACGAAGATGGATGTAAACGAGTTGAACGTTTATGCTCATTCACATGAGGGATTGCTTCGAACAACTGCGAAGCGACTGGGTATTAAGTTGACTGGTGAAATCCATGCGTGCACGGGATGTTCGATGCGAAGGCATTCAAGGGATTGCTCATAAAAACGAAACGCAGATAAGACAAAAAGTTGGGCAGAATTTTTGTAGACCTGGGAGAACGGAAGGGCGTTGCGTCCGTAGGGGGTAAACATTACCCCATCATAGTGAAGGATATTTTCACTAGACGTACATGGCTGTATTTCCTGACAAATAAATCAGACACTGGAGGTGCTTTCAGAAGTTTCCTTGCTAGTGTGCGTGCTGATAACAACCTACCATCATTGGGTGAGATTGTTAGATCTGACAATGGGGGGGAATTTTTCGGAGGGGAATTTTCGTCAGTGTGCAACGAGCTCTTGATTAAGCAAAGGTTCACCCCGGCTTGCAGTCCCCAACACAACGGTGTTGCAGAGCGTGGTTTGGGATTAATTGAGGCAGCTGCAATGGCGGCTCGTATTCAGGCAAAGGTCTTATTTGGGCATGTGTAGCTACCTACGACTGACAGAGGCCATGCACTGGGCTTGCGAAGCACTGAACCACACAGCTTGTTCCGCTAACCCAGACAGCAAGTCTTCGTATGAGATGTGGTATGGTAAAGCTAGTCATGCTTGACCGCAACCGTTTTTGAAACCGGCGTGCTGCAGGTGGCAGCGACCGTCGAAGCTGCTACCGAAGGGTGAGGCTTACTTTTGTGTCGGTCCTTCGAGAGACCACCCGCGTGACTGTCATAGAGCACTTACGTGGGATGGAACTATCCAGGAAACGCGGAATGTGACATGGGAAGCGCTTCCGTCACAACTCCCTCCACCGCAACCGTCTCTCTTGCCGATAGAGGTCGCAGAGGAGGGAGGGGAGGACCGTGACGACGATATAGAAGCTGAGGTATGGCCTCTTTTAGGGAGAGGAGTTCCCCACATTCCTTTGTGACGTAATGTAGCGGTCTCTGGTGGAGCAATCGATTATGTTCGCAATGTTTATGCAGGCAGAGTAGGTCGATCCCCTTCTGTGCCATCTTCGCCCGCGATTGATTCCCCTAGTAGCGCAGCTCCCCATGTCTTCTCCAGCAGACGAGTTCACCGATGAGAGAGGGCAGGGAGGGCCGGAGACAGGGGAGGCTTATTCGGCAGGTCCGGGAGGGCAGGAGGTAAAGTCGGAGGGTCAGGAACGGTTGAATGAAGAGTTAGTGAAGCCGGGAGGGCAGGAGGTAGAGTCGGAGGGTCAGGAAGGGTTGAATGAAGAGTTGGTGGAGCCGGGAGGGCAGGAGGTAGAATCGGAGACACTTCCCCCTGTAGCGCACGTACCATCCAATCGTCGTGCGCAGCATGAGCTTGCTAGTTACAACACTGCTGCGAATCAGGATGAAGTTAGAAGTGGCAGAACCCGTGCGCAAACTTGGGCCGTAAACCAGCAGAGCGTATCCGGCCTCATGGACACTGTAGGACCCATATCCGCATCCGAAATTGTACAAGCATTCTTAGTGGACCGGAGAGCGTCTGATACTATGGAACTGCCGAGAGAGCTCATTCAGGATGTAGAGACAGAGTCTGGTGGCTACCGAGAAGCCCGCCAGTCAAAGCATGCCGCGATTTGGGACAAAACCATGTCTGCAGAGTTTGAAGGCTTGATAGCAGTAAAGGCCCCGATAGACTTTAACGTGATAGATGCTAGATGGGTCTATAAATCGAGAGCAGGCAAAACAGGCAAGATAGTGAAGGCCAAGGCTAGGCTTGTAGCGAAGGGCTTCGAGCAGAAGTATGGTAAGGATTATCTTGAGACTTTCTCGCCTACTGCAAATGCTGCATCAATCCGTTTAATATTAAAGTAGCATTGGCGTGCAAGTATGACTTAGAATTTCTCCACTTTGACATTGAGCAAGCGTTTGTTCAGTCGGAATTGGATCACGAGGTGTTCATGAAGTTGCCTCCTGGCTGCAAGCCGATGTCAGGAAAGGTCGTCCGTTTATACCAGAGTTTGGATGGACTGAGGCAGCATGTAGAACATTTCACACGAGACTTGTGTCGAACCTGAAGAGGATTAGTGTCGAACAATCTCTATCTGACCCCTGTGTTGTGCGTTTCATGATGAGAAACGAGGTGATGAGTATGATCGCGATTCATGTGGATGACATTCTGTATGGAGGAATTGAGAGCCTTGCCAAGATAGTTGTGCAAGCGCTAGGTGACTCTTTTCACACGAAGAATTTTGGTGAGGTCAAGTTCTTTCTTGGTTGCGCATTAGTCGCGACCGCGAGGCTGGCACGATTGAGATGTCTCAAGAGAGTTGCGTCAGGAGTGTTCTCGGGATATTCAATATTAGTCGCACCAGCTCGATCCCTGCTTCCCCTGCTAGTGATTTCAGGTCCGTGACGGAGGAGAAGGCAGGCGATGTGCCGTTCCGAGAGGTGGTGGGGAGCCTGATGCGGATCGCCAACCAGACGAGGCCCGACATCTCGAATGCTGTGCGGGGAGTGGCGAGGCACTCTCACGAGCCAAAGAAAAGCCACTGGAAGGCGGACCAGAAGATTCTAAATTATCTTCTGGAGACGGCATATCTAACTTTCAAGTACAAGCAATACACCATGGTAGACGTAGGGACGTTTGTGTACGTAAACGCAGACTTCGCCGGTAAGGCCACTGACCGTAGATCAGATTCGGGAGCACTAGTTCTTGTAGCTGACTGTCTTGCTGCTTGGATTTCTAGGACGCAGAAATGTGTCACACTTTCAACAACTGAAGCGAGTATGTTGCGATGGGTGACGGTGTAAAAGAGGCTCTGTTTGTCAACGGAATGCTCGAGTTCTTGAGGTCTAGTGATAGAATTGGTAAGATTAAGGTACGATAGGACAACGAAGGTGCGCTTGCACGTGCTAAGAATCCACTTAGTTCGTTCAACAGTAAAGTACATTGACGTGAGGTACCACTTTCTTAGGAATTTGACAGAGAAGGGAGTGTTGGAAATCAGAAATGTCTCTAGCGAAGGACAGAATGCGGACGTTCTGACGAAGGCTCTGCCGAGAGATCTTTTTGAAGTTCATCGTAATTTTGCTCAAGGCTCGAGATCTGAGAAGAAGAGGTCTGAGTCGTGTTTTTTTTTTGCCTTTGTTTCTATGATTTGTATTTGGTTTGGTCGAGACAAAAGCCTCAAGGGAGGGAGCTCGTTATAGTTGCTGCTGGTTGTGTCGACAGAGTAACGTAGAAAAAATTGATTGGACAGCTTGAATTGTGCAGCTGTCGGCGTTGCAGATCGCTGAGTGCCCACATATTATCAGAACATCGAGGAACGTTCTGTAGGAATGTTCCTCGTGGATGGTGCATGGCCGCGAGTGTGTTCTCTGTGGATAGTGCATCAGCCAGAAGATTCATGGTACGTTGTGAAGTACGCTAGCCCCTGTTGAGTCTTTGTGTTCCGATATTATTGTGTTCGGCTTTTTTGCGTTGGTCGAGCGACATGGGTGGTGGCTGCGGTGCTGCGGTGCTGTGGTGCTAGCCCCACCCTTGCTCACTCCACCTTTTTGACCTGTTCTTCCGAACCAAGGTTTCATCAATGCAACATCTTTTCCCCAGAAGCCACGAGCTTACCAACGCGCTCAAATATGTATCATGATCGTCGCAGCTTCATGGATCGTTCAATCGAACCGTGGAATTTTTTTGAATCCCGTATACTTATCACTGGCACAAAGGCCGAGGGAGAACCATCGTAGTGTCGGGGCTCAACCACCAATGTTTGAGGTGTGTTATTTGGTTCTAGAGCGGCACAAACAACGCTCTGCGTGCGGGCAAGCCAATGACATATCCCCTAGTGACGCCAACCAGCTCGTGCATCAAACAGCAGGCCATCCGAATCTGAAATGCTTCTCATCACAATCTCGATCAAGGTTGCTCGTCCTTTGGCCTCGTCATCGGCCCGGCCTTCGGAGGTCTGCTGGCCCAACCAGCAACGCACTACCCGAACGTGTTTTCGGAGTCGGGGCTGTTCGGAAGGTTTGTCGAGATCGTTAGCATTCGTGTGTTTGAGGTAGCGTGTCGTGTGATGCTTAAACGCTGTGCGGCGAGGTTTCTGCATCCACATGTATTGTAGTTGTGCAGCCTCACAAGTTTGCGAGAGGCCCCCCGGGTACTCTTGAGCGAACGGGATCAAGGGAATCCCTGCGGAAATACAACATCACTAGGTGCAAAATTCGAGCTTTTCAAGTGGTTAACGATTGTACTTCCGCAATGACTCTTCACGGGAGATAAACCTTCGCAACGCTAGCGTAGCGTCCAGTATAGTCGGCAGCACCACCACCACCACCACCACCACCACCACCACCACAACAACAACATCAATGATGACGACAACGACGACTACTACTACCACTACCTGATTGTCACACCTTGCTGGGAGAATAGCAATCCGCTAGTAGTTGCGCGTACCCGGCGTGTACAGAGTTCTTAGCTCTTAGCTCTTAGCTCTTTGCGAGAGCTGTTTCTACTGAACGTTAGCCACACCTTGCCATACCTACCTGGTAGATGGCACTGACAACCCACATCGCTTTCTGCGCACCACCCATCTAGGTACCCTTACCTGCTTCCGAACGTGGTCGGGGCGAGTATAGCCTTCAGTGGCTTGCCCATGGTGTTTTTTTTCCTCAAGGAGACTTTAAACTTGGACGACGGCAGGAGTGTAACCGATAGCAGGTGAGGAAATTCTCGATGAAACCATGCCCGTTCAGCGCAGACACCAGACAGGCATGAGGCCTGGAAATCAGCGATAACGGACTATACCAATATTTATTCAATAGTGCAGTGAAATTGGCATTTCAGAAAAACGCCGCACGTTTGCGTTAGCCGGCCTCCCGTCGCGTTAGTCCTTGGTTTGTTGTAGGATTGACCGCCTTCAGCTGCCGTGATGCGCGTGGCCCCATCCCCCCCCTTTCCAGCACCTGATGCCGTTCTGTGATGCGTGTTTGTCGGTGCGCCCCTGAACAACGTTCCCTAGCATCGTTCCTTCGTTTGGGTCATGGCGGACATGAAAATTGAGGTCTGTGGGAGCCCGGTTTGTGATGCCCTGGCGTGCTTTTCAATAACGCCCCTTTCATCCCTGCCATCGGGGTTGGGTTTTCGTCGCTTGGCGACGACGTTGTAGAACAAGCCCCCCCCTCGGTGTACCTCCCTTCGCAATCTAGACTTCAGTGGGTTGGCGCTGTTGGCAAAGCGCTGTAAAACACGCCACCCCAAATATAGCCCCCATAGTATGCGCTACCAAAGACGCGTGACGCATGGATGCGTGGAGTGAGGATTGCTTACGAAAACCTCACAGGTTGAGTGATGTAGGAGATTGCCGGACACATAGACGTGTTGAGTGATTATAGCTGTATACTGAAACCCCACGGAAAGGGGAGGTTTGAGATTGCCAGACACATAGACGGGTTGCGTGGGGATAGCTGCTGGAACCCCACGGGTTGAGTGATGTTGGAGTGCCGGACACATGGACGCGTTGAATGAGGATAGACACATATTGAACCTCACAGGTT